ATCATCTGAGGGAAGGGAGAGAGAGAGAGAAAGAGAGAAATAGATAGAGAGAATTAGTAATAAAAGAGAGAGAAAGAGAGAGAGATTATTACTATAATAATAATTATAATAATAAGAATTATTATTATTATTATTATTATTTATTATTATTATTATTTACATTATTCTCTACCTAAGTCAAACGGTTTTTTTAAATGTCATAAGTATAGTTCGATTTTCACGCCATCCATTCATCCCATGTGAAATATAAAATAAAGTTGACGCGTAATAACAGTAACAACAACAACAACAACAACAACAACAATAATAATAATAATAATAGTAGTAGTAGTAACAACAAATATAATTACATTAATTATTATTAATCATCATCAAAACCGTTATTATCGCTTCACATTATCCTGACCGTCAGCGTTTCTATGCAAGTTACTTATTATTATTATTATTATTATTTATTATTTTTTTATTATTATTATTATTACTATTATACACGTTATTTATGCGTAATTTATATCGGGAGAGCCCACTCACTAAGATCATTATCAGCTGGCACGCAGCTTCATCATCATCGTCGTCATCACTATTTGTTTTTACGGTCGTCATCATCGTCATCGTCATCATCAACGTCATTGTCTTTAGAATCGTCATTATTAAGACCGTCATTATCACCCATATATCATCAACTTCTTTATCATCATCGCAATCATCATCTCTTTTATCATGGCCGGCCGACGTGATATCGCTATTGCCGAGCCGTAACGTGACAAATAAAACAAGGTGAACAAACCCACACACACACAAACAAACGAACACACACAAACATACACACAAACATACACACACATACACACATACACTCACAAACAAACAAACCGACACACCCAGACACAAAGACAAACAAACACACACAAACAAACCGACACACACAAACAAACAAACTCACACACAGATACTAACACACACATTAACACACACACTTACTAACACACACACACGCACAAGCAAAGCAACAAGACATCGAGTTAAATCGGTGAGAGAGTTGACTTATAAAAAACAATGCCAACACCCAAAGATTCAATACGTGACTTCAGAAGACATTGTTCAACTCTCTGCCATTCCCATGTTAACTAACATAACGACACACAAAGCAATTAGAGAGAGAGAGAGAGAGAGAGGGAGGGAGAGAGAGAAGAGAGAGACAGAGAGAAAAAAGAGAAAGAGAAGGAGAGATAAAAGAGAGTTACACAAAAGAAGAGAAAGTCAGAAAGAGGGAGAATCAGAAATAAACTGATTTTTATGTTATTAAAATACATGCAAACATCCATTTAACTCATTCAGTGTTGTTTTTTTATAAGATGATGATAATGATGATAGTGGTGATAATGATAATAATGCTGATGATGATTATTAGATTATTATTATAATAATTATTATTGTTGTTGTTTTTGTTGCTGTTGTTACTATTATGATAAATGATGATGACAATGATGATGAATGACTATGATAACGACGACGATGATGATGATGGTGATAATGATAACGATGATGATGATGATGGTGACGATGATGATGATGATGGTGACGATGATGATGATGACAGAAATGAATAGTGCCATGCCTTTATTATTGATCATTTCACATCATTTCATTTGGTAGATATACTAATGATTAAGAAGATGTACACACACACACACACTTACATACACACACACACGCACACACGCACACGCACACACACGCGCGCACACACGCACACACGCACACATACATACATATATACGTACAAGAGCACACACACACATATATAGATATACATATAAACACACATAAAAACATATATACACACATAAACATTCATATACACATGCAAACACATACAGACAAACACAAACATGGATATACACACACTCATACAAAATACACACAAGCACACACACACACACACACACACACGCACGCACATAACGTGACAATGGGATGACTTTACTATTGTTAGTCGACAAAATTTTCACATGACTTTAGCGTAATGAGTTAAGGTATTGATTGAGTGAACGAAAGAATGAATGAATTTAAAATGAACGAATGAATGAACGAATTAAAAAATGAACGAGCGAGCGTACGAACGAACGAAAGAACAAATGAATGAGTGAATGAATGACAGTAGAATTTGTAAATAAAATTTAATGTTCATGAAAAATAACCAACGTTGTATGAGTGACTGAATGAATAAGAAAAAATGAATGAATGAATGAATAAATAAACAAATGAATGAATAAATGAATGAATGAATAAATGAATGAATAAATGAAAGAATGAATCAGTGATTAATCCAACAAAAAACTAAAAATGAAATATAAATTAAGGAAATTTTGCATTAGTGTTCACATCAATGTGTGAACGTGCTATAACGAATGAACGCGCAAACAAACATTGATTGATTGATTGATTGAATGGATGAATAAATGAATGAGTGAATGAATGAATGAATGAATGAATGAATGAATGAATGAATGAATGAATGAATGAATGAATGAATGAATGAATGAATGAATGAATGAATGAATGAATGAATGAATGAATGAATGAATGAATGAATGAATGAATGAATGAATGAATGAATGAATGAATGAATGAATGAATGAATGAATGAATGAATGAATGAATGAATGAATGAATGAATGAATGAATGAATGAATGAATGAATGAATGAATGAATGAATGAATGAATGAATGAATGAATGAATGAATGAATGAACGAATGAAGAAAAAACAAATGAACGAATGAATTAAAAACCTTCTTTATTCATTCCGACTTGCAAACACTTGTTAAGTCTGCAAGACCTGCATTGGTTTCTGTGAGTTTTGTCGACAGCACAACCTCCGCCAGAGCCCAGGCGCGATTTACATTCGTACTTTCTGCCCCGTCTGATTGAACGCTGTTGTGGTCGTTGTGGTTATTGTGGTGTGTTGTTGTGGTCGTCGTTGTGGTTATTGTGGTGTGTTGTTGTGGTCGTCGTTGTGGTTATTGTGGTGTGTTGTTGTGATCGTCGTTGTGGTTATTGTGGTGTGTTGTTGTGGTCGTCGTTGTGGTTATTGTGGTGTGTTGTTGTGGTCGTCGTTGTGGTTATTGTGGTGTGTTGTTGTGGTCGTCGTTGTGGTTATTGTGGTGTGTTGTTGTGGTCGTTGTTGTGGTTATTGTGGAGTGTTGTTGTGGTCTTTGTGGTTATTGTGGTGTGTTGTTGTCCTTGTTGTGTTTATAGTAGTGTTTGGTTGTTGTCATTGTGGTTTTGGGTGTGCTGCAGTGTGTATGTGAGTTTTTCGTGTATGTGTGTGTGTATCTCTATGTGTGTCTGTGTGTGTGTGTGTGTGTGTGTGGGTGAACGTGTTTGTATCGAAATTAATGTAAAATTAAACTTACTTTAAAGAAACCAGCACACCTGAAATGATAATTATATTAATATAATTATTATTATAGTATAATAATAATAATAAAATTGATTGATTAATTAATGGATAGATAGATAAAGGAAAAGATAGATAGATGGATAGATAGACAGACAGACAGACAGACAGACAGACAAATAGATAGATAGCAAACCCACCCATCACAAGCGTAGATACCATAATGCTTCCCTGACGAATGGTCAGCACATACTTTACATGGGATATTCGTTAGTAAGCGCCCTACAAAATTTAATTATAATTATAATATAATAATAATAATTATCATTATTATTATTACTATAATTTTATTATAGCCATAATATTGTAACTAAAATATAATTTAGGAATTATTTTTTCTGTAATGTTTAATTTAAAAAAGACTCAATCACATTTCGTGATCATTAATATGTCTGTCCGATAATGACGATGATAATAATGTGATACGTTATTATTATTATTGTTATTATAATAATAATAATTATAATAATAATTATTATTAGTTGTAGTAGTAGTAGTAGCGAAAGCAGCATCAGTAGCTGTAGTAATGTTAGTAGTGGTAGTGGTGGCGATAGCAGCAGCATTAGTAGTAGTAGTAGTAGTAGTAGTAGTAGTAGTAGTAGTAGTAGTAGTAGTAGTAGTAGTAGTAGTGGTGGTGGTGGTGGTGGTGGTGGTGGTGGTGGTGGTGTTAATATTGGTAATATTATCTCAGTAATATTACCCTCATCGGTGGTTGTATTTATTATTATAATTATCATTAAAAATTGTAATAAAATCTGTCTTTTGAGTGTGAGTTTGTGTGTGTTTGTGTTTGTGTGTGTGTGTGGATGTGTCTGTTTTCACGTGTTGTACTTGATCAGGCGATTTTAGCTTCGTCGCGTGACTCTTGATAAGATGATGATGACTAAGATGACGACGGTGATGATGATGACGAAGATTGGAGATGCTGGTAATGATGATGATTGTGATGTTGATGATGATTAATAGTAAAAATAATAATAATAATAATAATGATAATAATAACCATGATAATAATAATAATAATAATGATAATAATAATAATAGTAAAATAATCAGAGCAGTAATTATGATGGGTTAATTTGCCATTCCAGACCCAATTCGGCATCGTACAATCGTCTTTAAAGGTGTAACACGACATATGTTGAGTTGTGTTTTGTTGTTGTTGATGATGACGCTGTTGTTACTCATTTATTTTTTTGTTCATTTGTTCGTTCGTTCATTCATTCATTCATTTATTGATTCAATCATTCATTCATTCACCATTTACTAATAATAAAACAGTTGATAAATACACTACTAACATCAAGGCATAACAACCTCATCAACTCAATAAACTCACGAACAACAACACAACTTATTTACCACATCAACAAAACATACGCACACATACACAGACACACCTACACACATACACTCACACACACACGCACACATGCATACAGGCACGCACACACGCGCACACATACAGACGTCCTGTAAAATTCAATTAATTTAATGATAGCCATCATCTAGCATACACATACTTTCACAAAAGACACACTCGTCTATTCACACACGCACACAAAG